GATTCTTAATGATATTCTGCTATACTCATATATCAGTGCCTGATCCAGTCATCATCAGAGAGGCTTCCTCTGGCAGCAGATGGGAACAGATGTGGAGACCCACAGCCAGACATTATATGGAAAGAAAGTCTAAATTGGAGGTCTCTATCCCTCCCCTCAGAGATCATGGAACACCCTCCCCAAAAGAGGGGGCGGAAAGACTGTATGAGTCAGGGCAGATGGATGGCACAAAGAGAACATAGCCCACTGAATCAACCACACAGGGCTCATATCGTCTCATACGCCTTCTTCTGGCCTCCAATGGTACCAAGCATGCAAGTGGTACACATACATATATACAGGCAAAACACTCTACACAAAGAATAAAACAAATCTGATACGGAGTGCATTGGTAGCTCAATAGTAGAAAATCCCCTTGCATACAAGAGAGCTGAATTCAATTCCTGGACAATGCAGTATCTCTATCACCAACAGAACAGCCAACAACAAATGCTGGAAAGATGGAAGGGAAGAAAGCTCTCATTCATTGTTGGTGATATGGTAAACTAGTCCAACCATTTTGAAAATTAATGTGGAGAATCCTCAAAAAGTTAAAAATAAATCTTCCATATGTCCCAGCTATAATATTCCTCAGTATATGCTCAAAGGACTCAACATCCTACTCTACAGATCCTTGCTCAGTCATGTTCACTGTTACTCAATTCACAATAGCTAGGAGATGGAAACAACCTAATGCCCTTCATCCAAGTAATAGATAATGGAAAAGGTGGTATATATACCCTATGGAATACTATTCAGCTTTAAAAAATTGAAATCATTAGCTTTGCGGAAAAATTGATGGAACAAAGACAGATCATATTGAGGTAACCCAGTCCCAAAAAGACAAATGCCACAAGTTCACTCTAATGTAAATTTCTGAGTCTTCAGTTATGATTATATAAGCTAGGATAACTGGAGAAATCAGAAAAATAAAAGGGAGACATGGCAGGGAAAGGCAAGAATGAGGGGAGTAGCATGGTAGAAGTACTTTAGAGGGTGAAATGGAAAGGGAAAAATTAATTAGTGAGGAGATAAATACAAAAAGGGCAGAGGGCAAAATAACAATAAGGATGTTTGGAAAGCCAAAAGGAATCATAATAGCTATCTACTTAAAATACTCATAATACAAGTAATTCTGTATGTACATATACATACATAGTTTAAATAGAATTTTCCCATTTGGGATGATAACGTTCTCCCTAAACACCATAGAATAACAAAACCCAAACGCCAGGCATGAAAAGCTTCCTTTTGAGTTGTTGGTTAGGATTGTTCAGGAACTCCCAACATTAAAAACCATTACTGTTGACCATATTTGCTTCCCAGAAGTAGAAGTTCATATTGCTGAAAACACGTTGCACTTGGGGCACATTATCCAGTGGTCCTGAGTTAGTTGTGATCTGAAAGTTTCCTCATTGAGGACTAGCTTTCATGGTACCAGAAAGCACCATGCTAGTTTCCAAGGGACAGAAACAATCAATATTCCTACACAACTACGATGCCTATGAACTTCAACAATGACCAACATGGCACAATATACCTAAGGGTGTAATTGTGTCACACATACCTTGGCTGTAATCAACACTTCTATAATTGCACTTAAGACATGCTCAACAAGTAGGAAATTAGTTCTGAAAACATATGCATGCAAGTAGCATTATATAGACTGAGAAGGTCATACATTGTATTTATACACACACCCCATATGTAAGGGCAATAGAAGAAAAATAGGCCATTAATGTGAAAGAGAGCAAGGATACATGGGAGTTTAAAGGGAAGAAAAGGGAAATGATATAATTATAATCTCAAAAACAATTTTCACTCCTATTTCTTTCTTTCTTTGATTTATTTGCGGTTTTTCAAAACAAGGTTTCTCTGTGAAACAGTGCTGGCTGTCCTGGAACTCACTCTGTAGATCAGGTTGAACTTCAACTCACAGAGATGTGCCTGCCTCTGTCTCCCCGAGTGCTAGGATTTAAGGTGAATGCCACCACCGCCCATCTCTCCTATTTCTTATGCTTCTAATCCATACATTTACCACCTCTTTCATATTTTATTCTATATTTCCCCTAGTCCCATTTCCTACTTATTTCTCTGAAAGTATATCCTTCACTCTATAAAACTGTAAACAGGATTGTTTTCAAATCAGTAGCATAATCTTGGAGCCTTGTGTAAGTCGGGTTAACACAGGGAATGTTGTCTTCCTCCATACAGTAGTGGCGAATATAGTATCAAGACAAGGCACCTAGAAAACATACATAAAATAAAATGGAAAAAAGGCAGAGGTAAAAATAAAACCTAGGGACATATACATAAAACAGATGGACAAACTACAATAAAGGAGGAAGCAAACAAAATTGTCACTATGATTCCCTTTGGTCTCTGTGTAGATTAGGTGTTTCCAGATGGTGGGCTTCTGTGAAGATCTGAAGTGCAGACAGACACAGTTTTCATTCAGAATCAAAGCACACGTATGGGCCACATATGCTGTAAGTACACACAACTACTTGAGCTGCAATGCTCAAAAGGCAGAGGTTACTGTTTAGAATCTCATTTTATGCAATTCAGGGAGAAGGCTTACTTACTAAGGGGCAAGGAGGTGGGAGAGAGGTTTCTTATTGGGACTGATAGACTCAGATTATAGAAGCTTGTGTTCATGGTGCACAACTTTCCTATGACACATCTAACTTTAATCAGATTCACACATAATCATGTGTAGACACAGGAGGGGTGTTTCCCTAGCAGTTCTTGCCTTATTGCAAGTGCACCTAAAACCAGTTCAGGATGGATCAAACCACTTTGCCTTAATTTTAAGGATGACTCGGGATGTACTTAGTCACTGAGGGGCTTCTAGGGAGGAATGGCCGGATGAATTGTTTGAAGTGAAAATATATATAGTCCAATTCATGTAAATATTTCAGATTACTAAGTGCTTTATTGTTTTCTATTTTAAAATATTTTTCATTTTATATACCAACCCTAGTTCCCCTCCCTCCTCACCCCCCATCTATTCCTCAGAGGGGGTAAGGCCTTCCTTGGGAAGTCAACAGTCTGGCACATCAAGTAGAGTCCAGACTAAGCCCCTCCTCCAGCCCCCGCCCAAGCAAGACATCCCACGACAGGAAATGGTCTGCAAAAAGCTATTTCATGCCCTTTGGATAGGCTCTGATCCCACTGACATCCCGCCCCAACAGATCAAGCCACATAACTGTCATCCACATTCAGAGGGTATAATTTGGTTCCATGCAGTTTCCCCGATGTCAGTCCATAGTCCTTGAGCTCCCTCTAGCTCAGGTCAGCTGCCTCTGTATCACATCTTTGTCAGAAACCAGAGACAATGAAAGAGCTGAAATCCCAGGGAGAAGCAGAGACCTACATCTAAAAGGAAGTGATCACAGGAGGGATGAAATGAGGAAATCAATTAAGACCATAGACAATAAAGGTAACAAAGTAGAAAAAACTGGAACTCAAACACATGGAGGAAGTGGAGCAGGGAAAGTGAGGTTGAAAAATAAATGTTGGAAGTGATTGAATCAAACAAAAACCCCACAGGGGTGAGAATGGAAGGCTGAAGAGATGGGTCAGCAGCTAAGAGCACTGGCTTCTCTTCCCCAGGCTGAGTTCCCATCTGCACAGTGCTTCACAAACAGCTCTAACTCCAGGCACGTTTGCGTGCATACACATATATGCAGGCACGACATTCATACACATAAATGAAATAAATTCAAAAACTAAAAACAATAGAAAGCATCCATTAACAGGCAAGACCAAGCATTAGAAAAGTTTCAGGGATGGAAGACAAGACTGAAGAACACAGAACACATTCAGACATATATAATAACATCAATGTGCATGACCAAAACTTCTAAGAACACTGGATTAGGTTCAAAAGACCAAACATAAGAAAGCAGAGTGCATGCTGGCTAAGTCCTGTGTGCTAGTCAAGTCCTGTCCAGAAGACAGCATTCCACATTCATGAACTCAAAGAAACTGAGACTACAAAATCTGAAGATCAATTCAGCCAAAATAGTAGCATAAGAAGAGTAGATGATCTCCAGGCCCCACCCCTTACTGGAGGTGGAGCTATTAGCAGTAGATAGTTGCTGCAGAAGAGGGAGCCATTCTTTCTGGCTGAAATATGTGCCATGCTCCAGTGGATGGCCATACACTCATATACATATGAGCAACACTAACTGTTCTAACTGGACTTAATGGGTTATAAACAAGCAAACAAACAAGAACATGTAGTTGAGAGGAAGCAATGCACATGCCATAAAAAGAAAAAAAATCCAGCATAGGGCTAGAGATGGCTCAGATATTAAGAACATTTGCTGCTTTTTCAAAGGACCTGGGTTTAGTTATCAGCACCCATGTGGTGACTCCCGCCATTTGAAACTCCAGATCCAGAGTACTTGATGCTACCTTCTGACCTCTGTGGATACCAGGGACACATGTGGTAAAAATGTATGCATGCAGGCAAAACATATACATAAAAACTAAAATAAATACAACTTTAAAAAATATATCCAAGTAATGTTCGGAAAATAAATGAATCGCTGCACATAGATTTTAAGATTTATTACCATTTTCCTGTTTTCTTAAACAAACCAATCTGGGTACACATTACAGAGTTGACTAAAAGTATTAAAGAAACCCAAAGATTAACCATTAGAAGTTCCTCTATGTTTTCTCAGAGTCTTGTAAGAATGGAACTGAAGTAATCAAAAATTTACATTGCAAAGGTAATGTAACACATTTGCAATTACAAAGAAGAACATTGGAGAAAGTAGCCAAAAAGAAAACAAAGGAAACAATTATCATCATCTAGAACCAGAACACAAAGTTGCCCTATACTGTTTCTTTTCATGGCCAGACTAACCTTGACCCCTCCCTCTTACTTAAAAGCCTGACTGTCCTTTTTAAAATTAGTAACTGTGCAGCCCCATGTTATTAACATGGTACTAATCCGTGGAGCCCTTCCTGGCTCCAGCCCTGTCTTCCTCATCTCTCAATGCCTCCTGATACAAAAAGGAAAAAGAAATCGGGTTCCTTCCTGTAAATTTGGCCAAAAATTCTAGAACTTCCATCTTGGTGGTTTCAGAGGAGGCTCTTGGACCCCACCGGAACACATAACTTGTAGGACAACTCTTGGGCACCTGCCTATATTTCAGATAATTTTGCTGCACTAAATCTCTAGTGAGAAATTCCCTGGGCTCCCCATAAATGAAGTGTTCCTTCCCATCATATATTCCCATCATATTCAGGAATTCCCATATGCTTTCTTCAGAGGCACAGTTCCCCTCTACAAATATCACACCCAGAATAACTATCAGAAAGCCATTTCTAGGCAATTTCTCTTTGTTGTCATCGTATGTGAGGTTCAGTGCATTGGTAAGGACATAAGAGCTGTTCACAGGATCATTTTCCTTTAGAACAATGCCAAAAATCATCTCCAAGCACTTTGAAGCTTCCTGAAGGATGCTAGGGAATTGTTTCTTGTAGTCTTCTGTGACAATGCTGAGCATTTCCACTTCTTTGATAGGTTCTTTCATTCTGTATTTGAGGATCAGGAGATTCACCAGTTCAGTCACCTTTCGCTTTTTTAGTTTTCGCCAGGAGGAATCATTGTCTGTCAACTTCAAAGTGTTTAAACTCTCTTCTTCTGGGTTGCCATATTTTCCATCTAAGTTGCCACATGAAGTGAGGGAGCAAGAGCTCTGGTAACTCTGGGAAAACCTCTGCATCCACGAAACCGCCGCTTCCACCTCATCTAGGCTGCCCCAGAAGAGAGGACAGGATGAGAGCGAGGATGGTGGAGAAGGGCAGAAGGACGGTAAAGTGATTTTCAAAGAGGCAAATAATGTGGAAGAGATGGTGTCACTGTCAGAAGCCTGCCATTCTTCCTCCTCATCCTCCTCTCCATCCTCCAACTCTTCCACATCCTCCCATTCTTCCTCCTCATCCTCCTCTCCATCCTCCAACTCTTCCACATCCTCCCATTTTTCCTCCTCAACCTCCTCTCCATCCTCCAACTCTTCCACATCCTCCCATTCTTCCTCCTCAACCTCCTCTCCATCCTCTTCATCCTTGTCCTCTTCCCATTCTTCCTCTTCTTCCACTTCTTTCTCTTCCCCTTCTTCTTCACCTTCTTTCTCCTCCTCATCCTCTTCCTCCTCTTTCCCTTCCTCTTCCTCCTCTTGCACTTCTTTGTCTTCCCCTTCCGCCTCCTCTTCCACTTTCTCCTCCTCTTCTACTTCCTCCTCCTCTTCCCCTTCCTCCTCCTCTTCTACTTCCTCCTCCTCTTCCACTTCCTCCTCCTCTTCCACGTCTTCCTCCTCTTCCCCTTCCTCCTCCTCAGCTAATCTATGTACTTCAAAAGCAACCTGGAAAACTTTCTCAAGGATGGAGTATGGAAAGTGCGACATAATGAATCTCACTGGAGATGGTAGGCTGGAGTACAAGCAGGAGAGTGGGTGAATGGATCCCTCATATCTAGGGGAAAGAAAGGTGGTGTGAGTGGCCAGCCTCAGCTAAAAAACTCTAACTCCTGATAAGGTTAACAAAAGCATACTCACAAAACTTCTTTGTACGTGATGTTCCCAGAGCCCTGCTAGCCTGCTTCTTTCCTTGTTGCTTGTCCTACTGGAATCTGAAGAGGGGTATGAGAAAGGTCCTTAGCATTTAGGCGACTCGAAGATCCTGAAACTCCAAGGCCCACTTTGGGGACATCCTTGGTTCTGGATAGCACCTTCAATACATATTAGGTATACTTCTCACTGTGACTACGTGACTCCCTGGGCCTTTTCTATGCTGTGATTTGAGGGGAAATGAATCTCATCAAGACCCTCAGCCCAATTTCTGACAGCTCCATAAGATGAGCTGAGAGGACCTGAAGACTGTAAGAACCCTAAACTGCTCAATGCAGCTAGGTTAAGTGTCACCCTGATACAAAGAGGAGGTATTAAGGGAAACCCATCCCCAAGCACATGTGTCAAGAGCCGGTTAGCAACTGACCAAACTCTGCTTTCATCTCCTAAGGGAGAGATGTACTCATTTCTCAATCTGAAACCTCAGAGCCTGAGGCTGTACCCTCTACTGGCCTGGGTTTGTTCCTCTGAGCAATGCTTTGAGATCACCAAGAAAGAGAGCAGGCTGTATCACTTACAACCACATCCCTCAGGGCATCTCACAAGCTGTCACCATGGGAAGTGTAGCACCAGATATACTCTCAGTTCTAGTAAGGGGTATTGTACCCTCAGTTCCCACTCAGAATCCTTATCTAACTCCCGGTAGTCCTGAACTCCTTGCTCTGCTGACCCGATGTATCTCCTCACCATACTATTGCCTCTTCAGACCATGTTCCTCAATCCCCTCATGATGCAAGGCAACACACAAAAGATACTAGAATCCCTCATTATGCTAATGTGACAGCCTTACACAAAGGCTTTCCTTCACCTCCCTGGAACAGTCATATAAAACTAAAATGGTATCAAATCCAATGACCTGTCAGGGTCTGTCGAGTGAAACAGTTTTACTTGCAAAAGAGTCATCTTTACTGTTAAGCAGAACCTGCCTCTGTCTTCTTTGATCTGAAGTGTGTCTGTTTAACCAAAACCTTATCACCCTGAAACACTACAATTCCTTGGCTCTTTGGAGAGCTTGTGGCAGATGTTAGAGTCTGTTCCAGTAGAACACCACAAGCTGCACCTTCTATGGGCTGGAAAAAAAAGGTTGACAGTTAGACTCCATAGGATTCCTTTCTTCCCGGAATGAGTAAGGGGAGGGAGAATGAAGTAAGGCAGGGAAGAGTGAAACTTCTTCCATCCTTGCCTGGGGCCCTTAACTAAGCTGCGTCACAGACTTATCTCTACACTGACTAGCCCTGGCAGAATGTTAACTCCTCAGATCAAAACCCCTCACACATCACCCAGAAAAAAAAAAAAAATGAAGCGCCATGTCAGACAAACCTAGTCTGCAATACCCTAAGGTTTGTATCAGGAGCCTCTTGAGTGTGCGGCCAGCTCACCCCGAAATTAATATTATCACCATGTTGTCTTCCTATATTAATAGCAAGAAATGTTTTTTGTTTTTGTTTTTGTTTTTTTTTTTTTTCTGATGCAACTAAATTGGTCTTCATAAGATCTGGGAACTCCTAGCCAGGCGCTGGTGGCTCATGCCTTTAATCCCAGCACTCAGGAGGCGGAGGCAGGCGGATCTCTGTGAGTTCAAGACCAAGCAGCCTGATCTACAGAGCTAGTTCCAGGACAGGCTCCAAAAACCACAGAGAAACACCACTTTAAAAAAAATATATATCTGGGAACTTAAAGGAGCCCATCTTTGACAAATGTCATCTTTATTTATCTGAGAACCTCGTCATATGTGTGAAGCATTCCATGTCTTGTACTTTGTCTACAGTCTCCCAGTGTCAACACACCCATGGTTTTAACAGGAGGGGTTGACCCTCTGTTCTCCCTCAGGCTATTTATGTTGCTCCTTGAGAACAAGGCCCCATTTCCATGAGACAAATTCCCTCAATTTCCTGCAGAAGTGACAAAACACAACTAGCCACTATTGCCCATATCCTGAATGCATGGTAGGGTTTTGCGGGGCCTCTTCTGTCTACAATAGTAAGAACTGTCAGTCACCCTCAAGGGATTAATATTTACTCTTAGAAAGCCACATACAGCCTCTATTCTGTTCATGTGGGGGAGCCTTCCTTAGTTTAAAGGTCCCATCTCTTCCAAATACCAGAAAAAAAAAGAAGAAGGAATAAGGACTCTGTGCTTGAGCCCAGAACTTCTAGGGCCCTACATTACAAGCTGCTTTCTGCGAAGCTCGCTATCTGTAGTGAGACTGTGTGTAGTCTCCTCATTCTTGTCTCAGAGTTCTCTCCAGCTTGAAGCCTGTAAGGGACCTGGCCTTACCTGCTGATCCCTTCCCAAGATTGAAGTCTAAATAGCATACTCCCCAGACCAGAGTCATCGCCTTCAGGCTGACAGCAAAGGGAGTACATGGCTGAGGCTCTCCATATTGATAATCAGAAGCCCTCTCACTCCTCCAGCTTATTCATTTTAATGTGTGGCGGCACCAGCCCACCTCCCTCTGCCAAGCGGGGAGCTAAGGTCTCATGATTGGAAGTGAAAGAGGCTCCTCCAAATCCATTAACACTCTATCCCCAGGGTACTCAGAACAGCAGGGACCCTTTAATCCCTGTGGGGACAAGTTCTATCACTCTCCACCAGGGTGCATCCTGATAAAGCAAAAGCCAGCACTGAACCCAACCTTTATTAACCTAGAGCCCCTTCCCTCGACCTTCTATGGGGAAACTCAGGAAATGATATAACCAACAAGCTCTGTCCCTCCCTAAAGCATCCCAGGCTCAAAGCATGAACAGATGATATCAACATTTTCCCATCAAGTCCCGGACTTCTCCCCTACTTATCTGAGTCTAGCCAACTCAAAATACCTCACCTTCCTTGGAGGCTAGACATGGAATTTGGAAATAATTATAAGTCATGACCCTGTCTGGAGACCCTAATGATAGATAGGCCTGAGCCTCCTCTACATCTCCCCCATTGGGGAAAAGATAAAACCCTCAGATGATACCACCTTACAGAGCCAGGAACTTCTTATGGACAGCTTCCCATGATAACTCTGGGCAGATGCTTTTAAATAACACCTGGACTCCTCCTCTGCTAACCTATGCATATCCTCCATCCAAATGAACCTCACTTAGGACTCCCAGACATGTAACATGGGAATGATTATGGCATGACACCACCTTGAAGCTGTGATAAATTAGATGATGCATCATAAAGATCTTGGGGGCAAAAAGGCTCCCAGCCATCCCTCGGAGCTCTCCTTATCCTCTATCCCGTGACATTTCTCAAGGCTGAGACCTTTCCTCGCTGACCAAAGTCTAGTCTCCTTCCAAACAGCCTCCCCTCCCCAGAATAGCCCAACCCCAATGGAAATCTGGACACAAACAATACACACCCAGCCAGACTGGAGTCTCCCACCAACTGACTATACAAATAGAATCAACACCCCCTTTCTCTCAGGGAGGCCAAATCTCCTACTCTGCTCTGGGAGTCTTAGTCAAGGCTGGGAACCCTCTCCAAAATCCGCCCATAAACCTTTGTCTCTCTGGAACCCCCAGCACAGGGATTGGGGTGGTTGGGGGAGGAATCAGAGCAAAGAGCTTCTACTCAGCAGGACGCCTCCTGAGGAAAATCAGCTGAGACAGGCAATACAAGCACCTCCAATGTGTGTCTGGGAAGAAATGGTTCCAAACCCACCCCAAAGGCCTCCTTTTAATATGCCCAAAACTAGGAATCCTTGCCCAGGGACCAGTCAGCCCTTACACCAAAACCTCACCTCTCTCCACAAGGAACAAACTCAGCAGGAGCTGTAGGCGGTATTCCCTTGAAGTGGAAAAACAGGCCTGCCGGACTATCCCGGTGGGTGGGACTCCCAGTCCAATTTCCTGTCCTCCTTTTAATGATTGGCCAAATCTAGGACCCTTCACTCTGTTGCCGTGAAACCATGGGCCTCAGAAATCACAGAGAGAATTCTGGAAACAGCATGACAGGGGATCAGGGACCCAGAACTGGGCACCTGAAGGCTCTAGGGAGAGGCAGTCTGGCAGCCAGGGCCAGGCAGGACTAATATTCTGTCCCCTTCATCCTTTTTAGCCCTCACCTGATAGCCTAACCTAAATATTTTTAGATGAATCTATGCCATATTCATTTACACTTCCAACATGTAAGTCACAGTACGCCACACAGTGAGTAGTATGATTACCGAGGTGGCGCATAGCTGGAGAGTCCGAGATATATAAAGAAAGCTCATTCTAGAGTGAGTCCCAGCTTCATTTTTTTCTTTTCTTTCTTTCTTTTTTTTCCCCTTTGTTTGTTTGTTCGTTCATTCGTTTGTTCGTTCGTTGAGACAGGGTTTCTCTGCATAGCGCTCACTCTGTAGACCAGAGGCAGAGATCCACCTGCCTCTGCCTCCCGAGTGCTGGAATGACAGGTGTGCACCACCACTGCCAGGCTCCAGCTTGTCACTAACAGTGTCATTTCTCTCTCTGGGGACCTGAGTTCACTGGGATTTAAGCAACCTGTACCTGGCTGGGAAGCCAGTAGGTGGCAAGTGAGGAAGAGATAACTTTTAAGCCCCAAGACTTCGCAGGGTTTACAGTTAAGTAGGGTGAGGCTGACACCAGTGCTCAGCATGAGATAGTAGGAATGCCTGCAGCCTTGCCCAGATTGTTTCTGTTTAACCTAGACAAGGTATAAACCCCATTCTTTTTGTTGGCTGGTTGATCTGTCTTTCAGGCCAAGGTCCTCACTTTACTGAAGAATTTTAGATAGGAAAATAAAAGAGCAGGTGATGCAGTGGATTGTTCTGCCTAGACCTCCTTTGG